GAATGGCAGGCGCTGCTGGTGATCAACGGGCTCCATGCTGGGTAGTCACGGCGTGGTCACAGACGTGTGCGTGGGTGGTGTTCCCGGTGACGGCGACGGCCGCCTACACGCTCTGGTGTGGAGCGCCATGGCGGTGACAGAGTCCGACTGCAAAGCGAGAGGGATCGGAAGGAGGGCTCACCGTGGGTCTTTGTGGAAGAGAGGATAAGCGGTGCCGTGACGAGTTGCGGCCGTGTAGCTCCGGAAGCCGTGCGATCTTGGCCACCCGTGGCGGTGCTCCGAACTCCGGCGTGCTCCGGTCCTTCCGGCGGTGACCCGGTATTTCCCTTTCCCCTTCTTCCCTTCTCCCTCTTCTCCTTGGTTCGGGTGTCTTTGAGGTTGGCCACCGAGGTGGCGGCGAAGCGACAGGATTTAGCGCTAGGGCTCTCGGCCGAGGCTCTTATAGCCGGCGGGGATCGGGCGAGCCCGGTGATCGTGGTTGGGAATTCAAGCGGCGATCAGTATGAGCTTGCATCCAACGGTGTCTGTGAGGGTTGCGTGGGCGCTGGCCTTGGGGAGGAGAAACAGGACCATGCCCGGGCATGACCCCTCGCCCACCCCCGCCATTCTTTGTCGGGAACTCTGTCATGCGGTGGTTTGAGCGTGGCGTGGGGAAGAAATCTGATGATGTTGGCGACGCAGGGTCAATGACGTGGTACGGAAGCGGAGAGAGAGGAAGACGACGGGCATGGGCAACGTCTGGTGACCTGTGAACCAAGGTGGTAGCGACCATAAGCGAGGGTGGTCGAGCATGGCGATCTTGGGCATAGTCAAGGAGCATGTGAGCAGCAATTTGGTCAGGTGCGTCAGCGTTAGCGAAAATGGGCCGTGGTATTTGGGCGATTCTTTGGTCGTCTTGGGTTGGGGCGAAAGAAAGGTGGTCGGGAGGCCTTCTTCTCTTCTTCCTTTTCTATTTTTCATTTCTTTTCCATTTGTTTGAATTTAAATTTGGTTTGAAATTTGATTTCACAACTGAGGTGACTTATTTATTGGAGTTTAGGGAATTTTGTTTAATAATAACTTTATGGTTTATTATTTTATTGGAGTTGTTTAACAATCATAACTCAAATGAAAATCCAAATCACATTTTGAATTTAACAATGTATGCAACATTATATTTGTTGGAAATTAATAAACACACTCATCTAATGACATGCCATACTTATATGTTGACTGGGGTTAGGTTAGACCTAATGCATCTTTTAGGTTGGGTTTCTATACATGGCACTCATTATCATATGGGATTCTTGAGAAAAAATTTGTAGCTGGTATTTTTGGTGTATAGATTTTTGGGTTGTTACAGTAATATTGCACGGCATAAACTGTAGCAGCTTTCTGTCTATTGCTGACCGCAGCGCCTTTTCGACAGTCTTACAAAATCTCCAATAGCAATAGCAGGCAACGGGCCAAAATCTCCGTTCCCTATCAGCAAACTTCCAGAATTTGCATATAACGTGAGTCTTCACTCCGACCAGTAAAGATACCCTTTATAACAAAACCTCTGATCAAATTCAGAAAAAAAAACCGACATGGAAAATACTACGCGAAAAAGCAGCATATAACCGTGGACTTGCTACATCCACAGCCACCTACCAGAAAAGGGACACTTCAAAAAGGAGGCACTGCATTGTGCCCCCTGCCATCGCTCTTGTCTACATGGCCATGCTCACGGCCACAAATTCCGCTTCAGATCAAATCCAATCCATGTGGAAAAGAGGGAGGGGGACACACACCAAACAAATGCAACGTCTCGCAGTCCACAGTGCCTGCGTTCACAGGTGAAGCACAAGCAGCGCGCGCGAGCTGGCCAGGCCATTACAATTTTAGGTCATGAGATATGCCATTACAATTCGACTATTCAAAGATCTGCCATTATAACTATATCTCTCCTTCATTCATGTCATTTTCTACGCCTGCCGCGTATAAGAACCCACTATCATACGCGTATGGCTATAAGTACACGTACAAGCCCACTTGGTGCGAGCGCGGTGCGAAGGCAGAGCGACGGTGCTCACCCGCGGCGGATAGCGCGCGAGGCGGAGCGGCGGTGCTCGCCCGCGTAGGCCTGCGCGCTAGGGACGAGTGCCCTCAATTTCGCCGCCGCTGCCACCCTCCGTGCCGTCCAGATGGAACGAGTCGGCCGCTCGCCGGTCCTGTGCCTCAGTCATAGTCCTGCGCCGGTTGGGGCCGTGCATCGGCCCGCTCGCCCGCGCACGCGCTGCGGCGGCGGCACGGTGCCCACGCTCGCCCTCGCACACACGGCGGCGGCGAGGCTGCTCGCTCGCCCACGCACGCAAGGCGGCGGCGTGGCTGCTTGCTCGCCCCCCGCGCGCACGCGGCGGCGGCCCATCTCCTCCGCAACGCCTGGAGAAGCTGGTGCACGCGTGGATGGAGACGAGCTTCTTCGGCCGGCTGGAGAAGCGCGGAACCGTGAGGGCCGGCCCCAGGTTCCGAGAGAGCTCGTGGTTCGTGTGGCTGTTGCACCGCCTCTTCTTCGTGTTCGACAGCGGCGTCGACTTGGACTTCTTTGCGTTCGACGGCAGCGTTGAGGAGGATGGCGCGTCCATCTTTCACTCTGCGCACGGGGGCGCACTTCTCATAGGACGGGGCCAAGGGGGAACCACCCTTCTCATAGTGCGGGCGCCATGGCCGGCTATGCTGCAGGGCGAAACTGCTCTGCGCTCCAGGCCGGGCCGCACGTCCTCGCCCACGGCCGGGCGCGGCTCTTGCGGCGGTCGACGCCGCTGGGCCGGCTCCTCCTTGCGCAGCGCGACGAGCGTGACCAGGGCGTCGTGGAAGTTGCCGTGCTCGTGCGCATCCAGTGGATCCTCGTACGCAACAGGTGTAGAAAATGACATGAACATGAGAGAGATGGAATTGTAACGGCAGATCTAAATAGATGAATTGTAATAATGTATCTCAGAACTTTAAAAATTGTAACGGCGGGATCAAAATAACCCAAATAGGAAGCAGGTCAAAGGCCACCGAAAAGGAGGAGACGCATCCAACCAGAAAGGACTCTCAGGAACGCACGTACGACATTCAGAGCTCGTGTTCTGGGCGGCCTGCTCCCAAACACCTGTCTGGAATCTATAGCACCTAGTAGGACAGATGGGTTAAACAGTAACCATGTAAAAAAAGCTGTCTTTGGATCATGCATGCCGATGTTGATGGGCTGGTTTGTAGATAAGCATCGTGTTTAATGGACTGAAACCATAGACACAAAAAAGAATTTATGTGTTCAGAATGGCTTCCCTGCCCCTCGGTGTCCAGATGCTTTGTTTTCTTCAGCACACATCATCGACCTGCAGCATTTTCTTCAGAGCTGTGTGTGAGGAAATGAATTTCAGTGGTCCTGGGGAACAAATAGACCGCTAGTGCTGTTCACTCCACACATGTAAAGGGTACAAGACTTCGTTGTCAATTCAGGTAGTTGGTTGATTGACATTGAACTGCACCTCTAGTGTAGCAACGATTGATCCAAAATATACCGTGTGTATAACCGTGCAATGGCTGAGCGAAATCTTGCAGTAAAAGGTTCCTTTTTCTTTTGCTGACCAACAGACCATAGCAGTATATATTTACCATCTTTATTATCGGCCACTGATTGCAGCAAATGTTCAAGCTCTTCATGGCCAATTAAGATGAACTGATGAAGTAGCTTCCGGTTCTTGGTCCCTCTTCAGAAAGCTGTGTAGCATCTTGTCTTGCTTACACGCTTCCTCCCTCTTCTCTTCTTCTGTCCGTCGATATTGCATTAATAGTACCATATGAGATGTTTGCTCCTCTAATAGTGGCTGAACCAACTTCCTAAATCCAGTGCTCTTCCAGATCCATCCAAGCTTATATATCTGTTCATTTGGTTGGTTTGTGAAAGGTGATAAGTCCATTTAGTCTTGATTTGTTGTGAGAGAAAAACACCGTTGTCACATGGCTCTGATGAAAACCAACAAGTGAGCAATTTGATTAAAAAAAAGCTTGTCACATGCATTTTTTTTAAAAAAAACTTCTTTTTTTAAAGAAATATAATATCTTGTTTAAGAATTGTTTCATGAAGATTGTTTCCACCATTGATGTTTCCAACTAATTTTCTAGTTTAGTCATTAGAAAGGTTTAAAAGAAAGGCCCACAAAGTCAAAGGCTCAAATTCGAATATTAAATTGAAAAAAAATCCTGTTTGCTAGAATAATTCCACGAGGTCTTGAATTCGTCTCTTTCGCAAAAAAAAAAAAAAAAAAAGGAGTAGCATCATTTTACTCCGTCATGCCGCAAAAAGCAGACATTTACCGTTTTCCTTGGAGTTGGACGAGACGAAACAGTAGTTGTTCGCTAAACGAGGGCGAGCCAGCACCAAAAGATACCGAAAAAGATACTGTTCCTTCAATGATTACACGTTTTGCCCCCCTTGCCACTCTCGCTCGCCGTTGCGTGGCGCTTTTGTGGACGCCGCCGTCGTCGCCAGCCAGCTTTCATGTGGCTGTGCGCTGCCCCTTCCCTCCCTCCCTCTCCGCACCTCCAGAAAAATCCATTCTTTTACTCCGAGTATTTAGCCTAGCCTGTTGCCGGTACATCTCTTCCCGCGGCCGTTGTTTGCGCGGAACCACTCTCCCAAATCTCTCCTGTGAGAGTTCATATGAAATTTCTGGTTGTTCGGTTTTAGATCGATTTCTTTACGACGTATTTTGGTTGCATCGCGGGCCGGCTCCGGAGCCATCCGGTCCTAAGACCGTACCAGCGAATTTGTTTGGTTTGAGGTGCGGGCGCCGAGCGGTCCTGTGCCGTAGATCCAAAGGCGCGGGAAATCTCTGGTCGCTGGGTTGAGTTGAATCGATTTGGATCCGTTTATCGCTAGTTTGAGCATTTGTGTTTCTGAGGGGCTAAGATGCTCTATTTGAAGCATCCGACGAGGAGCTGAGTCTTTGTTTTTATCAATTTCTCTGGTCGTTTGTTGATCTGATCCGATGGAGGCTATGACGGGTGTCAAATTCCTTCAAAAGTTTCGGCTCTACGAAACCAGATCGGTACGGATCTCTTGCAAATCTTGTTTCCTCTGTTGGTTCCAGTTTAAGGCTGTTTGAACTTCTGTTACTAGGTTGTGTTTTCAAACTTCTGTTTATGATGAATTCTTGTGTGATTTAATATTACCATCGCGTGATGGGTATCCATTATGATTCGTTCTGTTCAATTAGGTTACTGGAAAGGGAAAAAGGCTGCAAAAGGTTGCAAAAGATCCTTTTGTTTCTTTTTGCAACGGAGGAACGAGAATGAAAACAAAAAGGCCGTTTCCCTTTTTGCTAATTCCTTGCAATTGTTTCAAATGTATTAAACCGTTTGCTAGAATGATGTTTTGGTTTTACTTCTGTGTAGTTTGGCTCCTAATGTGCAATAGCCTTCTGCTTTGACTTGTTATGCCAATTCAAAAATACAAGGTTTCAGCTTTCGTTTGCATATGCATATGCCTTTTCAAGTCTCCAGGATATCTAGCTCTGTGATCTAGACATGAAGACCTCAATGTTGATACAATAGACAATAGGCATTTTTAGATGTTTTTTCCTTGTATACTTTTCCATTGGTTTACTGCAGATTGGGCTTGATGTTGAAAGCTCGTTTGCATTTTATTTATTGCTCAATTTTATTGTAGTTAATATTTGTACGCCTTTTTGGTGTAGAAATTTTATCTTATTGGAAGAGACAAGAGCAGGATTCACTGGAGGGTGCTAAAAATTGATCGGTTGGAGTCCACTGAGCTGGGTGTCGAGGAGGATCCAACTATTTACACGGAGACTGAATGCCAAGAACTGCTTTGTCGGATCCATGAGGGGAACAAGTTGACTGGTGGACTGAAATTTGTCACAAAATGTTACGGAATAGTTGGTAATGCAGCATAAATTGACACTTGTCGAACATATCAATCACAACTCTCTTGCTTTTCCCTTCGAATTATAACATATACTTATTTGCTTATTCAGGTTTTGTAAAGTTTCTTGGTCCTTATTACATGGTTATAATAACCAGGAGAAGGAAAATTGGCATAATATGCGGCCATGAAATTTATTCCATTGCCAAGAGCGAAATGATTGCAATTCCAAGTGTTATAGTCTGGCCCAACGTGGCTTATTCTAGGGATGAGAACAGGTCTTTTATTTTTTCAACATGTAAATATTGTGTATTGCCTGTTGTAATTCCATCAGTGGTTCTTAACATTATCAATAATGCCAGCTTGCTATCTAGTGTACATTTTATAGCTTTGCTATTCATCTACCTCATTGTTGGTTGGTTGCTTTCCACATATTTGATCTCATTTTGGTTGCTATGTTGTGTTGAGGCACTCTTGGTGTTGATGTACCCCCTCCCTCCTTTGTCTGTATTGTTTTGCATCGATTTGCATAATGTCATTCCAGTTTTCTTGATTTGTTCATGTTCTAGTAGAACATGGACAATTCCATTTTATGATTTTGTTCGATTGTACAATAATACAGTAATATTTTGTTCGTTGTGTGCATTTAGCTCCATTTCTCCTTTGTGTATAAATTTGTTTGTTCAGAAACAACGTACATCCAACTCATATAGCCAATATACATAATGGAAATTCTTGCAGTTCTGAGCCATGTGTAAGTTGCTCATATGGTTGGAGGTATATAGAGAAGTTTCAAATTTCCTTGCTCCTGTAGTATTCTACTTATTAACATTCATCGTTCCATATCCATAACAAGTATATTTTTTCAAAAAAAAAATTCATTTTCGTTGTATGAAGAGATTTATGCTCTCATCTCAATTTCTGTAGATATAAGCGCCTGCTTTGCTCAGTTGATCTTTCGAAGGATTTCTTCTTCAGCTACTCTTACAACATCATGCGCAGCCTTCAGAAGAACATAACCGAGAAGAATACTGGACAGGTTGTTTATGAAACAATGTGTGTATGGAATGAACTTCTGACACGAGCAATTCGGAATCATCTCAAGAATACCTGTTGGACTGTTGCCTTAGTCCATGGCTTTTTTAAACAGGTATATTCTTCCGCGGTAACTAAATTGAAAGTTCTTTTGCTAGTGTGTTAATTGACCCCTCCTTTAAAATTCTGATTATGAGCTTATCCATATCACCAGTACCGTCTATTCATCATTGAAGACCACAAGTAGGGCTGCTGCTAACTCAATGACACCCCACTAACTTAAGCGTTTTACTCCACGTCTCATGACTGATATATAGTGAAAGCTTGAAACAAGGTTTGCAAAGGCATGGCTTTGTATAACCTGCTGACATTTTTCAGTTTGAGCTGCTTGAGGCTTTCCTGAGTCGAAACCTTTGCTCGTAAGTCTCAGCAGGCTGTTATTAATTTTATTTCAGTTCTTCTAATCCATTTTTTATATATGTTGCTGATACAGGGTAACATCATATAAATTTTTTTTCCCTAATGCTTCATTATGAAATTCCATTGCTATATTTTAGCCAATTTGATTTTTCTCACAAGTGTCGGGCACTGTCTCTTGATCCTAGTCCAAGGACAGCAAAAACATCTCAAAAAATGGCAGTCCTGGTTACATATGCAAATAAAGTGCCATATGAAGACATGCTAATACATTTGTTTTGGTGTGACAGTCGAAGCTCTCTGTATCTGGCAAGGATTTTTGGTTGACCCTTATAGCTAGGCGCTCACGACATTTTGCCGGAACCAGGTTTGTGTTACAATTTTGGAGCCTTTAGCTTTATAGTTTAATTTGGATAAAACACACACACTCAAGCAGCCAATTCTGTCATTCCGTGTTACTTTTATTTCAGGCTTTTAACCTTTTGCTGAAAGTTTTTACATTCATTTTGAATTATAGATTCTTGAAACGTGGCGTTAATGAAAAGGGCAGGGTAGCCAATGATGTTGAGACTGAACAGATTGTTTTTGAAGACACATCTGATGGAATCCCAACTCAGATAGCTTCTGTTGTACAACATAGAGGATCGATACCTCTTGTCTGGTTTCAGGAAACTTCAAGGCTTAATATTAGACCAGATATTATATGTAAGTTATTCAGTTAGGTTTATTATGAGTTTGTATGTTGACTACCTCATCTGATATTCTAAATGTGTTGCTGTTACAGTAAAACCTGATGTGGACTACAAGGCGACTCGCCTTCATTTTGAGAACCTTGCACTTAGATATGGGAATCCAATAATCATCTTGAACTTAATAAAGGCAAGTGCAGCATCAATGTTGTTCATACTTTGATGTGAATGTCTTCACTTATGCTTATATTGTCACTGACTTATATATCTGAGGGTTTAATCACCCACTTGATAAGCTCTTTGTTATAAGTCTGAAATTTTCCTTTGAATCCCTTAATTATATTTCAATCAGACCCGCGAGAAGAAGCCCCGTGAATCTCTGCTCCGTGCAGAATTTGCAAAGGCTATCCATTACATTAACAAGAGCCTACCTGATGACAAGCGTCTAAAATTTTTACACATGGATCTGAGTAAACTTTCTCGAAGGTAATGCATTGTATTCCAAACGCATCTTATGTAAGATTGCTCCTTCAACGTAAGACAATCATCCTGTATGTACCTTTGTGTGAAGTACTACCTGCTACTTTCAGGAAAGGAACCAATGTGCTTGCACTGTTGAACAAGGTGGCATCAGATGTGTTGGATCTAACTGAATTCCTCCACTGTGAAATAAGTACATCAACAAAACCTGATGACACCTCAAGGTAGCCTATGGTCTACTTAGGAACATTCTAAAGTTTACTACGATATTTTTTCCTTAAAAATGCACAAGTTCAACTTGTAGTATTTATGCCAAATTCATATGTTAGAGATCACAAATTTTTTGTACATTTGTAATTGGTCGTTTTTTTCAGTCCTAATACCCTTTATCCTTTTATTACAGTGGAGAAGAAACTGTTGCCAAACCACGTGATGACAGAAGTAGCAGAGATCAAACTGAATGTGCAGCTAAGTTGGCACCTCTTTTATTACAGAAGGGTGTCCTCAGGACAAATTGCATAGACTGCTTGGATCGCACAAATGTTGCACAATTTGCATATGGTTTAGTTGCTTTAGGCGTCAACTTCATGTATTGGGGCTTACTGTAGCACAGAAAATTGAATTGCATGATCCTCTGGCTGATGATCTGATGGATTTCTATGAACGGATGGGTGATACATTAGCTATTCAGTATGGTGGTTCTGCTGCTCACAACAAGGTATATCTCATGTTATATTAGCTTTTACTCTGGAAACATGTTCTACATTTTTCACTACTGAAAGGCTTAATTCATAAGGCTGTGCTTCTTTCTTTGTAAATATAAGCAACATAAATTTGTGGCATCTGAATACTCTAAGGCCCCATTTGCGTTTGGATCCTTGGAATTGAATTCATTCTAATAAATTATAATTTAGACACATATTAATTAAGCTAATATGGTTGTATATGGAATATATTTGTATACTATTGTTAGCCATGCAAGGGAGATGCTTATATGTTGTGTTTCTACCATAGAGAAGCGAGTTGTAGAGCGTGCTATAAGTTGAAGAATAGAAACATAGAATGGTGATTTATAGAATCAATTTCCATCTCCCACCCTATGAATTTGGAAAGTTGTGGAATCTTAAATTCCAAGCCAAATAGCCTAATCTATTAAGTAGATTCCAATTCCACCAAAATGAAAGGATCCAAATGGTCCCTGACATATATGTAAAATGCTCTGAACTATGTCTACAGTTCTTTCTTCTAAAGTGGTTCTCTTGTACCAAGAAAGTCAAAGTCAACTAGTCATAAAAAGACCACTTGATGTTCCAAATCTCTTTGTTGAACTATATCAGTCTGATTTCATGTTACTCGTATTTGCCATAGATCTTCTGTGAGCAAAGGGGCCAATGGAAGGCAGCAACCCAATCTCAGGAGTTCCTTCGAACCCTTCAACGCTACTACAATAACGCCTACACTGATCACGAGAAGCAGGATGCTATAAACATGTATGCTTCTGAATATTTTGCAAAAGAATATCTGTAGGAATAACTGAACCAGTGGAAAGCATTGATATTTGTATGTTCATCACAAGATAGCTTATTACCTGTCCTTAAAAAAATGCAGGTTCTTAGGTCATTTCCAACCTCAGCAAGGGAAACCTGCATTGTGGAAGCTGGACTCAGATCAGCATTACAATATTGGGAGGCAAGGAACTTTAAAAGAAGAGATTGGAAGGTGCAGATTACAAGCTTCCAATATTTCTTGAAATGTCTATATCTTATATTCACCTTTTATTTATACACTTTGCATTTTAGTATGATAGTTTACTACTTAACAGAAGCATTTTTCTCTACTTGTGAAAACCACATTTTTCCACATGAAAAAGTTAGCTAGGATTTTGATGTATCAACCATGGATTACAACAACAACAACAAAGCCTTTAAGTCCCAAACAAGTTGGGGTAGGCTAGAGTTGAAACCCAGCAGAAGCAATGAAGGTTCAGGCACGTGTATCGACCATGGATTGATAGACCTTATTTCAAAGCTAGGATTAGAGCTGTTAAAATGATTATGCAACTGATGTAATGCTTGGGAACACTGGATGTTGTTTAAAACTGCAAAATATAGGGCAACAAGAACTTAGGACAGCAAAAACTAGATATTTTTGCAGTCTAGACTCAGCCAGTAGTTCTGTCAATTGTGCTACTCTTGTACTGGTTCTTTAGACTGTTCTAATTTATCAATCCTCATCTTGTTTCACCAGATCATTCATAAAGAGGTCACTATCAGATGGTAACATACTGTTGGAGAACAGTTTGCCTATAACTAACTGTAACATTGAAACAAACAACACAGAATTGCTCCCAATGCAACAGCTGGATGATATTAGAGAACCTTCTGATTCTGCGCCAGAGATCTCCATATGTGAACCTAACCCGTGCTCCAGGTGCGTCATTACCTGCATGAATTTGGTGGGCCACTGGAATTTGTTTTCTACATGAATGCAATATGAGCTAATTGTGTCTTTTTTATATATATTCAGTATTAACTGTGGCACAGTGCCTGGAAGACACTCCATGTCAGAAGAGCGGCAGAGTTATTTGAAAAGATTAGGTTACCCTGAATTGCATTCTTCAAATTTCCTTGACCTTGATTTGTTGTCATCTTCAGGGAATTCGTGTGACGAGGAAGTATTTGAGAGGTAACATAAATAGACTTCCAGTAATTTGCATATCCTACTACTCTCCTTGCACTGTTAAGATGTATCACATCCGTGATTCACAGGTCATCACTGATCAATTCACCTATGGATGTGATCAGTGTTGAATCATCTACGTCATACAGTGAACAAGGATACATTGATGAGGTTAGCCTCATTATCTGAACTTCTTTTTCCGAGCTATCTATCTGAGCATGCAATGAGAATTATAATCAACTGATTTTTTGGTTACTCGGCTTTCCTCAGATCTAAACTTTATGCTGTGAACATTGTTCATTTTACCAGGGCAGGGATGACACGGATCTTTCCCGTTCAAGCAGCCAGCTCTCAGACGTTCCGGACTATTCTGACCGCTTTGCGCACTGGGTCGCGAATGGAGGCATGCTTTGCTTCTAGGCCCTGGACTTTTGTCTTGGTGACAGCTCACTAGAATTTGCGACACAGCAGGAAATGGATGTCTAGCGGATAGAGCAGACGAAAATGGCTGACGGCTGGCCGGCTAGGTGCATCTGCCTGCAGAGGAGGCGTAGCGGAAGAGATGGTGGACATGGGAGAAGGCTTGCATCGGCATGGTTGTGATCACTTGAAGGCTTGAACGCTGATATTCGTCGGATGGAGATTTTGGTGGTTGGATTGGGTACAGGATTCAATTTGCTATGGTGAAAATTTTGACCATAGTTTAGACAATAAATAGGCAAAATATATCTGATTCTTTTAGTTTAGCTTACCCTGCGTCCCCCTTCATAGAAAATTATCAAAAAGAAAAAAATGGAAAATCTATTAGAAAAAGGAGAAAAAAAACATAGATAAAGAATACTTTTGTTGTAAATAGTTAGTATGTTATTAAAGAAGTATATATATTTGGTACTTGTTCGGTTTCCTGGCGGTGTCTGTTCATAATTGTTTCTGTGTGTCGTCACGTTGGGGCGACGTTGTGATTTAGGCCATGTTCGGCTTACCCCATATTCGCTTGCTGACGACAGGTTTTTCTCACAATAACAATTTAGAATAGTATTTTTTCGGCCATTTCACCAAGATTAAGGACCGTTGAACGGGGATTTAGTTTCAAATGTTGTGTGGTGACTCAGGACATCATATTTTGTCTTAGAAAAACATTATGAACTTTTCATTATTATATGTGTTTTGTGTGATATTGTATCTCTAGTGCTAATTTATTATTAAATTTCTTAAGCTACCAAAATAAAGGAGAAAAATTAAGATATTTTTTTTAACATAGCTTGTTGTGCTCTATATATCTAAAAAAATTGATACTAAAACTCAACCTATACATGGGGAAACAAAATAACAAATCCTGTCAAGCAGTAAATTAGATCAATTATTTAAAATAGTTGGAGGAAATAAATTGAACAAAATATTAGTTTAGGGGTTATCTTGACATAGATCAAGGGGAGTAATTTAGATTTTCTTCATTAATTTATTTATTATATGTCATGTTTTTTTTTGACAACATTATATGTCTCGTGTTGATATAGGCTAAACTAGAGAGAAGTAATTTAGATTTAATTTATTTAATATGTTCTCTCGTGTTGACGTGTTGTTTCTTGAGGTCTCCTGATTCATCGGCAGGCGGGATGCCATTATAGGGGGACTCTTGGGTATCGAACTAGTTTTAGGGATTAGATTGATTACAAACTCAGTGTATTTTTGGCATAGCTCATAGCCCCAGCTTTACTCTCGGCTTCTACGGAGCCATGCTAAACACTTAAAATATCACTGGATTCTGGTGGGGAGCTGACGAGAATCACATCTCCATTTACAATACTAACTGACAGCTAAAAACCCCCACTCTCCACCGCTTTCCGCTACTTCTCGTTCACTTGCTACATAAATCACTTCAGAACTCATCGATTCTCACCGGCTTCCCATAAGAATCAAGAAGTAAAGCTTAAGAATCAAGAAGTGAAGCTATACCAAGGTGGCTCTCAATTTCTGGTCAGGTGACAACATTCGTGACAACTTTTTCGAAAATACATCCACGTACTCTTGGACTCTGCTACTGTTTTAGCTGTCAAAGCGTGAAGCACAGTTTTCTTTTATTCCTTTAACCTATGACTGGCATCGATTTGTACTCCGTATACCACATACGTGCCCAGGGTGACTGATCTTGGTGAGCAGCACATGGAGATCAAACCCTTATGCTTGTCATCCAGTCCATTCTAAGTAGCACATTTATGTCACCGTCCGACTTTAGCACTCTCAGGTCTGCTAGGAACCTTTGCCTTCTATCATAACACATTTAAACCATACTCAATTCCAAATTGTTACCATTTTAACTTTGTACTAAGTCAAAAACTTTACTAAATTTTGACTAATTTTTTAGAAAAATATATTGACACGTATAAGTTCAAATAAACACACTACCAAATATATGTTCGGTCGAGATTTTAATGAAACTAATTGGATCATAGATATTGATGTATTTTTCTATAATTTTAAGTTCATTCAACCATATATACTCTAACATATGTTAGAGCATGATCCTTCACTTGTTCAAAGCGGTGAACTGAACTCTGAATACATACATACATACATACATTGATATATTGCCTAAGATGACACGAGTTTTTGTGCTCTACATGTCTAGTATTATATGTTATCAAGTTTTACATCATGCAGACTTATCCAATTAGCTGCTTGAGGAGTCATAAGCATGTAGAATTAATGAAGTGTGTTTAGAAGTCTCTCTCTCTCTCTCTCTCTCTCTTTTTTTGCGACTAGTGTGTTTAGAAGTCATGCGTTGTTCATGTATGCGCATGATTGAATCCCCCCACCCCACCATATTTACTATAACTTCAAAGTTTACAAATCATTTCTTATCTCACAGTACAGTGTGGGATGGTGATTTTTATGGTTCCTGATTTTTTATCTGGCGCCTTTTTATTATAAAAAAAAAAACCAGTGCTGACAATTTTGAATAGTCTGGCGCCTTTTTTATTATAACAATGTGACTAGAGATTTATTATACAATGTGGTTAAAGAACGGAGGGCCAGACAACCATCAAAGGCTCGGAGGGATCATCCAAATGAAACAGCCAATACACGGTGGAAGAGGGACTGGGTGACTGGACAGGACACCGTATTCACGCCTGGACGAAGCCTAAACAGTGAAAGACAGATCCTCTTTGGCGACACCGCGACAGACATACCCTTATACAAAAACATTATAATTAAAATATTATCAATGGAATATGGTTAGTAGTATACAAGATTAACTAAGCTGCGATGCTTGTATTTGGACACTGTGCCGAGTGCCGTGGCCAGTGACACGCCAAGCAAATGCCCAGTCGCTCCCCTGGTCTGATTGCCAACCATCCCCTGTGCCGTGGGGCAGAGACACAGACAAGCAAATGCAACCAAGTAACCAACAGCGAGAACCTGAACGATGTAAAAACTGAAACTCATTTTCCTTACCCACCAGAGCCACTCTATCGGCCGCAGAAAACCATCTTTTAGGACAAGCAGGCACAATAATATCTAATACAGACGCCTCCAGTCCACAGAAAGCTGCAGGACATCTCTCATTCACAGCTACTAAATCAAACTTGGACAAAAGGTGTAGTAATATCCATATATGATCCATGGAAATCACATTTTCTCAACCAACTGAAAGTATCATATAGAACTACACATCAAACCAATACATGGCATGCGATCAACAGAAAACAAAAAGGCCTACTTATACCACATCTTCATAAGCTCTTTCATAGCAGCAATTTTAAAAACATAACAGGGGCACAGGTTCAACTAGAAAGCATAGCTAGTTAGCCACAAAAGATGCCGTCTGACTTTGGACACTCATACTTTGGAATAATACTGAATTGAAGGCAGAAAATGTCTGAGTCTACTCCCAGCCTTGGGCAGTGGGCTGGGCTGCTTGGTCCCAACCAGTAGGAGCAGCCACTGGAGGAACAACGCCATCCGCAGGTACAGGGGCCCCAGCTTGGTCCCAGCCATCACCTGTAGGAACCGGAGCTGCAACAGAGAATGAGAATCCTTCATGTTATTACCACAATGAAATTGCAGAAGAGTAACTTAGTGTAAAGTAAAATGTCTGAGGTGGTGTTTAAATCCATGGGCTAAAGTTTAGGGGTGTCACATCGGATGTCACATGAGAGTGTTTGGATAGTAATAATAAAACAAATTACAAGTCCTCAGTAATCCGTGAGATGAATTTATTAAGCCTAATCAATCCCTCATTAGCACATGTTTACTGTAGCACCACATTGTCAAATCATGGACTAGTTAGGCTTAAAAAATTCGTCTCGCAAAGTAGTCGCAATCTGTGCAATTAGTTATTTTTTAGTCTATATTTAATACTCCATGCATGTGTCCAAACATACGATGTGATAGAGACTAAACTTTAGGGGAGAGAACTAAACAAGGCCTGAGTTATAGTTCTCGTCTAAACACAATATTGTCGTCTAAACAAGTTTCATACCAAAGATGAGGAAATTCTATAAGCAGGTTACCTGGAGCAGCACCCCAATCGGCACCAGTAGGAGCAACAGGCGGCACAGCCACATCGGAGGTCCACTGCTCAGCACCCCACTGCTCAGCTCCTTGGTAATCAGTGATTGCGGCGAAGTCAGGGGCCGCGGCAGCTTCCTCCTCCTGCTCCTTTGCTTCCTCTGGGTCTCTGTAGAAGAACAGATCGACCTGCAGACAACATTCTCATATAAGAATGCAAGGGATACCAAAAATGTTTGCACATTGCATCTCCTATGTCATTTTGAACAGCATCATCAGCTAGCATACCATGACTTCCCACTTGTGCCCAGGGAGGATAGTGCCCCTCATTTGCAGAACCATCCTGGCCAAAAGCCAGAACAGGCATCCAATGCTGTTCCTCCCTTTGTTGTTGGCTGGGATGCCGATATCAACATACCGCATGGGAGAGTCAGTGTCGCAGAAGGCAATGGTCGGGATGTTCCCCAGAGCAGACTCCTTGATTGGCTGCAAACAATTACAGCATAACAATTAGTTCACCATCACACTGCCGCATCCACTCAATGCATATTTCATAAGAACTTTGAAACAGAAATTCCCTTCACCTGGTGGTCAGTCCTTGGGTCAGTAAGGATGAGCAGGCGAGGCTCGCTGAAGGAGGTCTGGAGCTGATTGGTGAAGGTACCAGGGGTGTGCCTCCCGGCAATAGCATGAGCTCCAGTGTACTGCGCGAACTTGAGGACAGCACGCTGACCGTAGGGACGGGCGGACTGGACAATTATGTCCTGAGGGTTCTCGATGGCAACGATAACCCTCGCCGCGAGCTGGAGCTTCTCCCATGTCTTGCCAAGGTTGATGATGTAGATGCCTGATAAAAACAGTAGCAGGAATGCATATCATGCCAAACAATTCATCTTGACTGTGAAGCG